GGGTCATAGCCAGAGAAGTTCGACAAGGCCCTGCTCGCAGACTCTTGATCAATCCACCGACCTTGACCTTGTCCGAGGCCGATGGAATCTCCAAATATGTTTGGTTATATTGAGCAACATACTTCCTCAACGACCGCGTTTATAGAACCAAACAGCGTTGTCATCAAAGTCATATAAGTCTTCTCCTGCACCACCGTGCTTGCATATTGATTCACCAATTTCTCAGCAAAGTCCTTGAAATCTCTAATCAAACCTGAGAAAAGGTGATGGAACCAATTGAGTGCCCCTCCCCTAAGAGTCGAAAGAAAAGCCCTACAACTAATCGGGTTAGAATAACCATGCAAAACCGCCATATTCTCGAATGTCCTCACATGCCTCAACGGGTCAGTCGACCCGTCAAATGTCAAGTTTTATAATTTATTTATAAAAATCAGAGTTTATTTTTTGAAAATATCAATTAAATTTAAAACTCAACGGACGCTACTTAACTACCAAGAACTATTAATCGAAAATACCAACACATGCATAACTAACAGTTATAAAATTTAAACCAAACATAATCCAAGGTTCAAAACGACTTAGCTTAATTATCCAGTTCAAGGCAGGAAAATAAATCCAAGTCATATAACAGTCATAGATAAACGGAAGCATAATAATAATAATCATAAATAAGCGAGACCACCCACTCGCCCTGCCTCGTCACCCGCCAACTTCTTAACCTGCATCCGTGAAGAGCAGGTGGGAGTGAGTACAGTTGGAAAATATTGTTCTCACACTATACATATGAACAACTCAGAATATGTTAGATGGTATGGTCGCAGCATGAACATAAACAATAATAATATCATGTCTCATCTCTGGTCACATCAATGACTAGTCACATCAATGACTCACTCATGTGCACATCTAAGCTTAGCCATGCCACGTAAGGACACGGGAGTGCGTGACACGTAAGGACACGGCCTTTTTATAGGACTTAAGGAGATTTACCTCGTAAGGGTAACCGTATTACATCCATGGGGACAACCGTACCGATGGCCATCAAGCTCACATCGATAGGCTACATGCTCACATGCATACATAGATCATACCAGTTTAACACATTTAAAACACACATGCATACACATTTTAGAATAACTAACCCATCTGGATTCCGGATTGATAAGAGCAAAAATAGAAGGTACGTAAGTCGAGGCTTGAATTCTAACACACCTACATTAAGTCAAGATTCTATAATCAACATCTACCTTAACTTAAACGGAAAACACAAATCAGACTTAGTCGAACTTGATTCGACTAAGTTGTTCGTGAAGTCCTGTGGACATTGGAACACTTAGACTCGGCACTTATACTCAACTAAACACATATGGGAGTTCACATAAACCCAACTAAGGGTTGACCAAGTCACAAACAAAGAACAGCATGCAAGCCGGTTTACAGTTTTTTAACACAAAAGCCATATTATTGAAATACTAGTCGATAAATCACATAATCAGGTTGGTCAGGTTGCCGAATGTGTTAAAATCTGAAATTTTAACATAAAATCCAACACACTAAACTTTGTAAAACCACCAAATTTTAGCTCTTAACTCAAAATACGTGATTTTATAAAATTCGAACTAGTTTTCAGCAAAAATGAGCACAAATTCAAAGACTGGCATAATGAACGAGTTAACCTTTGAAATATTTACACAAGAACTCTCAGCATGTGAATATCAACATATAAAAATTTCAGCTTTAAACATTAAACATGCGAATTATGAAAATAGTAACAAGATTCTGCAGATTTCAAACTTTCAGTAAAACTGAACTAATATGAACCCCAAAAATCCTGGGCATTTTTCCACACTTTTAACATCATTAAAGAAGCACTTCAACCAAAAATTAGCAATTTAAAGAAACGGATTAAATTATCATAATTAAAAGAAGTTTCAGCAGAATACTACAATAAATTATGTACCCTAGCAAACGAAATCCAAAAATTATGAAATTTGTACACAACTTGTAAATATGTCAGAGACACAATAGATTAAAAATTCAGCTAATTTGGAGCACAAATGAATTTAATATGAAATTTACATATTCTTCCAAGAAATCAAAACAATTAATTAAAATAGCTACAGTAGATATTTTAATCTGAAATTTTTACACGGCATACATGATAAATAGAGGACTCGATAGACAAAATTTCACATACAAAAATTGGTATACAATTTATCACGAATTTAATACCAAATCAGCAATCATACGAGTTCATAAATTCATGTACGACTCGACTTATAACGAAATCGTCTGAAGCCTTCACCATAAGACCAAGGACACGTTATTTTCCAATTCCACAGAAACTTAACACGTTTATAACGTGATCTCGTTCGAGTTCACACGAATCGATGAGATCGATAAATAATTTAATTAACATAGGCTCAATATATTCATTTCTATATCGACATGGCATACGATTATATATAACAAATCACATTAACACATATCACGAAATTAAATGAGACGGGGTTCGAGCCTAGGTACCGTTCTCGGGAAAACGTTCGAAAAACGGGACTAGGGAAACGAACGACACGTCGAAGTCGGCTCGCGACGGCACTCGGCAGCTCACGCACGACTCGCGGAGGAGCTCAGCAACGGATGGCGGCGTGAGGAGGAGCAGTGGCGTGTCTGGGGTCACGGCGGAGGGGTCGCTGCGTGACTGGGGTTACGGCAGAGTTGCTGTTGGCTCACGTCGATGGAAGACGTCGCTGCGATCAACTAGGACCTCGCGAACGGCTGTTGCACGAACGGAAAAATCGCCGGAGGAGGACTGGTCACGGCAGAGGATTCACGGCGGCGCTGCGCGTGGGGAAAAGCTTCTGCTGGCGGCGACGTGTTGCTGATGATGGCGAGATGAAGATGATGATGAGTGGTGATCGGAATGGCGTGCGGTGTGTGAGAGAGATGAGAGGTGCTGAGGGATTTTCTTGACGAGAGAAAGAAAAGAGCAGATTAAAATGTCTGCGGGTGCTCGGGAAAGGAGGGACAAATTAAATAAACTAGGGTTAATAATCTTGTCTCACAAGATACACACTCACGCACACGCACGGTAGAGAGAGAGAGAGAGAGAGAGAGAGAGAGAGAGAGAGAGAAATCGGGCGGTTCGGGTCGGCTAGGGCGCACGGGCCGGGTAGTGGGTTAACTATGCGGCTCGGGTCCTCGGTTTGATTTAGCCGATAATTATATTAATTCATTTCGGCTCGAAAATTCAAAAATAAAATCGGATATTATGTATATATATAATACACACATCAATTTATTAATAATAATACACATTTAGACATACAAAGACAATTAAGCATTAAATAAATAATAATAATAATAATAATATTAATAATAATAATAATTAAAATAAATAATAATAATAAAAAAAATAATTCCTAAATTATTCATAAATAAACAGGGCGCTACAAGTGCCGCCAATATCTCTCCTAAGAACGGGTGTCCTCGAGCTCACCCCACTGGTCGACCATCCACTTTGGTCTGCAGCTGACGCAACTGCTTTGTCATCCTCTCCATCTCTCGATCTCATGGGGCTCTTTCTCCTCCGTAGTTGGAGATTTCCTCCTCAGTGTTATGTTGTGCTTATACCACCGTGATCGGCACAGTAGCGTCACGGGAAGTTTGGTTTGTGACTTGCTGCACTGCCTGCGCCACCGTGTTGGCCATCATCCGCTCCATCTCCTCCCTGGTCATTAACACGACCTGTTGGTCGCAGCGCTGCACCTCCTCTCTTGGTGGCGCCACCACCTGCGCCATCGCTCTTACATATTGCACTCCCGCTTGATCTGGCTGCAATAGTGCAGGCACCACCATTGTTTGTATCGCCTGAGCCTCCTGCGCTTGGCTCAAGACCACCTCTGCCACAGGAACCACCGATGAAACCCCGAAACTTTGAGGAGCAGGCGTCGGGGTCACAGGAGTTTAAGAAGGCCCGGAGAAGCCTGGTGAGGGCCAACTCTGAACATTGCACCATCGTCCAAGCATCATCGAACGATGGTTGTAAGTTCTTTCTGTGAATCTCGTACGCCATAGCTAAACATCAACAAAACCTCTGCACACAACCTTTCGAACAAAAAGTCCCACAGGCGGCGCTAAAATGGTACGTCAAACACTTCGACCGGCTGGAAATCAACTCACCTTCTTCTTTCTTGCCGGTAGAACGCCGAGTACCTGAAAAAACTCTCACACCGGAGGGGTTTTCCGGTGAAGAGCCTTTGATGCTTAAGTCAATATATGTTCTACTCAAGTCTCAGGAGTATACTGGATGAATCGTGCTGAAATCATAAAGCTCACCCTTATATATAAGGGTGAGGTACGTGCATCTAGAATGTAACACCCTGAATATTTTTAGTAATTATTGAGCTCGACTTTATTTCCATAAATAGCAAGTTTCTTTATTTGATGCATTTATTTATTATTATTATTATTATTAAATTGAGTATTAAATTCTAAGTCTAAGCCATGGAGGATCCGTTCAATTTTTTATTTTAAAAATCAAATTTATAGCCCAAGTATCGATTTTATTTTTAAGTCGAAACCGAGCTTTGGAAAAATCAAAATTTTATTTAAGTCGGGCCGTAGCCCAGACGAGCCGAACCTCGGCCCGAACCTATAAACCACGTGGCCCAAATAATTTTCGCAAGCCCAAGCCCGCGGCCATAGTCCAAATCTATCCGCCCACTTATATCCGAGCCCAACCGGTTATTTGTTTGGCCCAAGCAATTAATTTAAGCCCAAGTTCCTTTTAGTCATATGGCCTAATTTTACTTATTTCATGGAGCCAAAGTCTTGTTCTAGCCACTTTATATTATATAGTTCAATTTAATATATCATAGTAGTATAGTCTTGAATTAATGTTGACGAGGTCTTCATAATTCAAAAATTCAAAATGCTAGAAATGAGCATTTAATGCTTTTATACTATAGGGGACAAGTTCACCAATCTTGTCCCCTAACCCTAACTTCACATTTGGCACTATATATATTTGTCTTCCATTTCCCCTCATCCTCATTTCATTCTCCTACATTCAAGAAAAGCCCTAAAATTTCCTAAGTCTAGAAAATCCTAAGTCCCTAAGCTCACCATCCAAATCCTTAGCCATATACATATATTTTCGACCTTTATCATATCCGAGCACCTCACCCGAGCCAAGCCTGGGTTCATATGCCCAGCCCTTAGACGAGCCGCGCCACCCGAGCTCAGCCCTTGGTCTAGCCACGCACGTCCCCAGCAGCTCGCTCGCGCTAGGTGCCATCCCCAACTCCACAGCAGCCTCCCAGCCCGTCCATATGCCAGCAGCCCCCAGTTCCAGGCCCGCTCGCCGTTGTCGTGCACTCGAGGCCAGATTCGCGCCAGTCCACATCCGTGCGCCAGATCCACGCTCTCAGCACGCGTCCAAGCCCAGCCTTGCTGCTCCGTTCCAGATCCAAGGTCCCAGTTCCAGATTCGAGCCAGCCTCGTACGTCTCAGACCAGATCCGAGCCGCACGCACCAGATCCGGTTGAGCCATATGCGAGCGCCCGTGATCTAGCCCTAGCCATCTTCTATAATAGCCCAGTTCTATTATTAATAAAAGTGGTAGTTTAGTTCCGAATTTGGACTTTTTCCTTTTATTAATATTGCTCGTCTTGAGTTCCGAGCCCAGTTATTCAGCTATTCAATCTCAGTTATTAATTCCGGTCCTCTCATTTTTAGAAATGGATTTTTATTTAATCGAGATTAGTTATTTCCAGTTGACGAATAATCGGAACCGAGTATGTTTCGATAAATCGTCCAAGTCAAGCCGTGTCCAGAACCGAGCATGTTCGGTCACGAGTATCGCGCCTAGTCCATGCCTAGCCAAGTCTCGAGCCCTAGTAGTCCCGAGTCTTGATCGAGCCATAGTCGCTTGTAGCCTTACTTAGAATTTTCTAAGTATGAGATGATCATCTTTGAGACCTAGCATTAGTATTTTCCCTCGGCCAAGATATCCGCACCTAGCTCGTGCCCGGGTCAGAGCTGCTCGCGCCAAGGTTCGCGAGCCAAGGCCCAAGTCATAGCTGAGTGATGATGGCGTATTTTCTAAGTTATTAGGCTCATAAGTCAGCCCTTAAAGTGTTGTACACTCGGTCTAAGTCCATAGTACCGAGCCTAAGGAATGCATGCCTAAGTCCTCGCGTGAGTCTGTGCATGAGCCCAATTCATGGCCAAGTTGTTGTGCACATTTTCTAAGTTTTTTTGGCTTCAAGGTCCAGCCATCATTTAGCCTTAGAAGGATTAAATTACCAGCCTAAGAAGATGGCATTTTAGCCCAAAGGCCGCGTGCCCAACAGTGCCACGCGCTAGACCGCATCTAGCCCATGCGCGAGTGCATGTTCATGCCGCCATGGTCAAGCCTTGGTCTAAGTTATGACCAAGCATTACGAGTGTTAGCATCTTCCAAGTGTTATTTGGATTTTTCTAAGTCTTTAGAGCCCAAATTTTCCAGCCATTAGCCCCTCTAGTCGAGCCAAGAGCATAAGGCCGCGAGTAGAGAACGAGTGAAGGGATCTAGCACCATTTCGAGTTCGGTGAAAGGTAAACTCGTGATTCTCATTTTTCTCAGCTTTAACATGATAAATTAGGAATTATCATGTAGAGAAATGGTGCCATGCATATGCTTAAAATGGAGTTACGAATTTTTGAAGTTATGACCCTTAAATTCGGATTTTATGATACATCATGATTAGGCCGATTTTAATAGCTCATTATCCCTAAAAAATCATGTATATGACATTCGTAAAAGATAGGCATGTTTTGAGTTCATTGGTTCGGCCAAGTTAATAGTAAAATCGAGCATATTTTCACCCCCGAGCTTTAGTAATATGCATGCGAGTTATGACCAATGTGTTAGCCTCTAAAGTCATTATTTTTGATGCTTAGTATTCGGCCTTAAGTGATTTAATAAGTTGAGCAAGTCTATTCGGTGACCTAGGGACCGTGCGAGCCATATCGGCCCTACCGGACCAATTCTAAACCCAACCGAGGTCTCATAGTGATTCTTGGCATTTTTATGTGTCCTTTATCCTATTATGTTGGATGGAGTTCATTGTCATCGGAATTGTAGCCAGAAGTCCGGCAAGGACCGGCTACGGTCACCGGCCGTGCATGTAGTGCGAGAGGTACTAGGCTCGTGTCCAACAGAGACTAAGGTTGCCTCTGTCCGTGCCCGCGCCCAGTGTGCGCAAGGCACGGAAGCTCCCAGCGCACGCGACAGTGCCCGACAGCGCTGTTCTAGTGCCAATGCGCGTGTCTCGAGCCCAGCAGCTAGTGCTGTGCCTAGAGTGAACCCGAGTCGTGTTCCCTAGGTTTAGTTGGCCCCAGGACTTGCCCAGCAGCAAGCCCGCGTGCCCAGTCAGCCTCAGGGTCGCCCGATAGCGCCCTAGCAGTCCCAGCCGCGCCAGAGTCGCACGAGTAGTGTCTGGCCACGTCAGTTCTCGCGCCAGCCGCACTCGGGTCGTGACCAGTCGCACGCCCCAGTGCCCAGTCGACCTCGGTTGTGCCCAGCAGCACCCAAGTGGCCCAGTTATGCCAAGGTCGTGCCAGCCGAGCCTGGCCGCGCCTGTCCGCGCCAACAGCGCCCATTATCGAGGCCCGGTCGCACCCTGCTCGTGCGTAGCACCGCGCAAGGGCACCAGCCGGCCCTGCGCGGGACCGAGCCCAACAAGTACATGCAGCCCATGACCATCCAGTCCAGAGTGAAGCGGCGGTCCAACCCGGTCCAGTTCAGTCTAACCCGGTTTAGCCAGTCAGCGAACCGGTCGGTTCAGCCGGCGGTTCGAGTAAGTTTTGGTTCGAGATTTTCGGTCCGAGTCTTATTCTAAAATTTAAGTATTTTTTTGAGCCAAACCAGATCAGTTAAGCATATCACTCTATTTTCTGGACTTAGTATTATTTAGAGAACCCTTAGAGCGTTCCCTTATATCCGGATAAGTTATCTGATAGAGTAGAGCATCTTAGCATATTATTGAGCATATGACGAGCACAGCACTTAGTATATTTTTTAGCTTATATTTTTATGTAGCTTGAGGAGTCAGCTACCAGCACAGCAACACTTACATATTTTCAAAGCAGATCAGGTGGGGACCTAGCCTGGGTATTACATTGAGTATAATACCTAATATCATGCCGAGGTATGTATTTTAGCCGCCCAGGGTGGAGGCCAAGTTTGCCACATCCGGGGTATGTACAGCAGTTTAGCCCGCCTAGGGTCGAGACCGACTTTGCCCTCCTCTAGGTTCTGGTGGTGGCCTAGTTTGCCTTAATATACCATCATAGTGTGCACACGGATACTGGCCATAGAGTCTTGGAGATTTAGCTTCAGTTACCGGCCACAGAGTCCCGGGAGATTAAGTACAGTTACCGGCCATAGTGTCCGGGAGATTTATACATACCAAAGTTTATGATATTGATATTATTATTGTTGTTTGCTTTAGTCTGGGTTTTTATGGAGTACAAGAGGACCAGTACTCACCCCCACTATGTTTTTCAGATGACAGTGTCGGCGGGCAGGCGTGAGGGCAGTTGTGATGGTTGTTGTCGTGGATTTGGCACAGCTAGCCGATTCGTGGACATTTGTTTTATTACATCTGTATAACTATTATGCCATGCAGTTTAAGACTTCCGCTACGTTTATTTTCCGTTTGAACTTGCATGACAGTATTTTCCAGACTTAAATATTTTACCCAGTTCACCAATACGAACGGGTCCAATTTCACATGCATGGTTCGATGAAAGATTTAAATCTATTTTTCTTAAAGTCTAAACCAGTTGTTAGACCCAGTTTAAAAGAAAACGGATTTTAAAGCAGATAAGTTTTTAGCAGCATCCCGAGTTAGTTTGCAAATGATTTCGAAAAATTTATAAGCGTTTTTGAAAAAAGGAAATTGCAAAAAATTGGCCCTAAGTAGAGGGGTGTTGCAATTGGTATCGGAGCACCTTTTGTGCTTCTGAACGCGTTAAGGAGACAGGTAATTTTAGAAAAACCCGACCACACCACACTCACGCCGCGCCGACTACCAGGTAAGTGCTGCTAAAGTTTTTCAAAGTTTATATAAACAAACTGTACTAAGTCTATGCTCAATAGAATTAAGATAATCCGAACTCTAGATGCTCAAGGCCAGTAAGAAAGGCTCCTAGCGGTATCAGATCTATCCCCTATCAGTATTCAGAATTCTAGTTAGAACTCTAGTTCGAACTCTAGTTGAACCCTAGCTTTTCGAGTTAGCAACTCGTCAAGAAATTTGTGCCTTTTCTAGAATTCAGCATTTCTTCCTCAATTATGCTAAGTCTATCTCTCGATCTGACCAAGTATTGCGGTTAATTATCCAGATGGCACGCCATGGATGTCAGACTCAGCAGGAGATGACTCAGGCAGAGGTAGTCGTCCAGTTCCGCGGCTACAATCCCGAAAAGTTTACGGGACAAGGAGATCCTCGCCTAATGGACGAGTGGATCCAGGGTCTCGAGGCGATTTTTGAGATCATTGAGTGCTCAGAGAGGCACAACATCCTTTGTGCCTAGGTGCAGATGACGGGAGATGTCCGTCTTTGGTGGAACGGCTACTGGGGCATGCGCCCTAGCGAGAAGGAGAATCTCACCTGGCCTCAGTTCAAGGAGATGTTGAGGGAGAAGTATTACCCGGAAACCTACAAGGCAGAGATGGAGCTCCAGTTCTTGGCGCTTAGGCAGGGCCACCGCTCATTGGATGAGTATGAGCGGGTGTTTGCACGTCTCGGGTCCTTCGTTCCCTATTTGGTGGACACCGAGGTGAAGAGGGCGAGACGCTTCCGTGATGGGCTAGTGCCAGCAATCCATCACCACATAGCGGGACATGGCATTCAGTCCTACGCAGATGTCGTCGCCAAGGCCCAAGAGACAGATGCCAGCCTCAGGATGGACTAGGTGCAGCCACTAGCTCAACCCCCAGTATTTCCCCCAGCTCAGTATCCAGCATTGCCACCGGTTCAGTCAGCACCTGTTCAGCAGGCGAAGCCTAAGAGCAAGAGGAAGTGAAAGGGTCAGCAGAATGACCGGAGGAACATGCAGAGACAGCCACAGACTCCAACATGTGGCACCTGCGGACGCCCACACCGCAGAAAGTGTCTTGCTGGGTAAAACATTTGCTACCATTGTCGGAGGCCCGAACATAACATCCGGAATTGCCCAGATAGGCAGCACCAGTAGTAGCCCCGACAGCAGCAGCAGAGGCCGCCTCAACAGTAGAGGCGAGGACAGCAGGCACAGGTTTATGCTGTCGAGCAGGCCGAGGCAGAGCAGCACCCAGGTACTATGTCTGGGATGATTATTTTAAATCATATGCCTATATTTTTCCTGTTCGACACT